TGAGAAATGCGCCTGTTTTCGAATTTTATTTTCGCCTAACCCAATTTCTGGAACTCTTAGTTGAACATTTGAATATAGATGTTATATAAGTGTGTGAATTTTCATTATATGTTGGATCCAAGTACGCCATGTTATTTTGGTGTAATGTTAAATATTATTACCCATTATATTAGATGAGATTTCATATAACTTATAAATGTATTAACAACATAATAATTTTTTTCATATATCCAACCTAATCTGGGTTAAATCAGTCGGACACAACAACATGCCGAGAAATGAGAATTAATACAAGCAAGTAGGGCTAGGAATTCGCCAGGTTTTCTGGTGAAAACCAGATTCACTACAATGCAATTACGGAAAAAATTCAAAAGTACCACTGTTTAAAAAAAAATTTCCAAAAATACCACCCAACCCCAAAAAATTCCAAAAATACCACCCTTTTTCAAAAACCGCCACCCCACCCAGCGGTTTGGTCGAAAACCGCTTGTCGGGGGCGCGGTTTTGGACCAAACCGCGGGCCTAGGGGGCGGTTATAAAAAAAAAAAAATTTTGGACCAAAACCGCTGGGTGGGGTGGCGGTTTGGCCCAAAACCGCCACCCCAACCAGCGGTTTGGTCCAAAAGTTCGGTCGAAACTTCAAACGAACGTAATTTTGCACTCGGGTATCCGATCGTAGCGATTGTTTTTTTCATTTCGCATAACTTTTCAAGATCTACAACTTTTACTAGGATGAAATTTTCAAAAAAGGAACTATTTGTGGATATACGGGACCTTGAGAATAACTTTACCTTTACTTTTCAGAAATCCATGTACATTTTGAAATTATGATTATATTAAAAGTTGTAGATCTTGAAAAGTTATGCATAATCAAAAAAAATTTCATAACATTCGGAGTTTGGAGCACAAAGTTATGGCCGCCCAAAGTTTGACGAAAGGCGAGACCCGGCGGTTTGCGGCTTGCAAGATCTCAAAAAGTTTGCGGCCTCCATTTTTTGAATCCGAATAACTTTTTGAGATCTTGCAAGTCTCAAATAGTCGGGTTACGTCTTCGTCTCGTAAAAACGTCATTTGCCACCCCGAACCACCTTTTTTTTTATTTCGTCAAACTTTGGGCGGCCATAACTTTGTGCTCCAAAATCCGAATGTCATGAATTTTTTTTTTATTCCGCATAACTTTTCAAGATCTACAACTTTTAATATAATCATAATTTCAAAATGTACATGGATTTCTGAAAAGTAAAGGTAAAGTTATTCTCAAGGTCCCGTATATCCACAAATAGTTCCTTTTTTGAAAATTTCATCCTAGTAAAAGTTGTAGATCTTGAAAAGTTATGCGAAATGAAAAAAAAAATCGCTACGATCGGATACCGGAGTGCAAAGTTACGTTCGTTTGAAGTTTCGACCGAACTTTTGGACCAAACCGCTGGTTGGGGTGGCGGTTTTGGGCCAAACCGCCACCCCACCCAGCGGTTTTGGTCCAAATTTTTTTTTTTTTTATAACCGCCCCCTAGGCCCGCGGTTTGGTCCAAAACCGCGCCCCCGACAAGCGGTTTTCGACCAAACCGCTGGGTGGGGTGGCGGTTTTTGAAAAAGGGTGGTATTTTTGGAATTTTTTGGGGTTGGGTGGTATTTTTGGAATTTTTTTTTTAAACAGTGGTACTTTTGGATTTTTTCCTGCAATTACCATATAGAATTTAGAACAAAAAGCAACTCAGGCGAATTATTTTCCACCCTTACATGCAACTTGCAAGAGAAGAGAAACTACGACAAACAAGATGAAATTACATTGTATCTCGATTCACCACTAATTTTTTTTAGACATTTGTTTGTTCTGCTTTCATAAAAATAAAATACGAAATAACATAAATAAGAAATGTATAATAATAAGAAGAAGAAAGAATAAAACATTAAAGAAGTGGAAAGGAAACACAACATAATTTATATTAATCTTTTATAATGATTCGCCATGTATTTTCATAATATGAAAAATATCTAAAATATCTTCATTATCCAAACTATTGATGATTTCACACTTAATATTACCAACCAAAAAATCGTTTGTGGTTTCATAATTCACCCTATTTTGAAGTGTGTTATTCATATAGTTGATTGCACAAGATGCTATTTCAACACGTGTCATGGCAACAGGAAGCACCAATGTCAATTTCAAAGGTCGATAGATTAATGAAAAACACTCGATATTTTATTGACGCAAGCATTTCTCTACAAAGTTTGGCAATTCCCTTTAATCCTGCAAACCTCTCAGCTGTCTTCATATGAAATATATAAGCATCTAGTTGATGAATATCAAGATGTAAAATATCATCTTTGGAGAACTCCTTGGCAAATACCTTTTTCAAGATAATGTCATCTAATCACATGTCTTGAACATCAGGATGAAATCATGATAGTTACGTTGGTCTCTTGAACTCAGATCAGCTTTCGAAGAGTTCACATCAAGTTCATTTAATCTAGATGCAGTGGCGGAGTCAGCATTTCAAACCACCCTGTCCTCTTTTCATAATATAAATATTTAATTAAAAATAATTTAATAAAAAATAATTAAAATTAATTATATCTGCATAATTCATTCATAGATTAAAAATAACAGACTATACAATCAATTTTTTTAACAACCACGGAGAGATTTCATATTGTGAAAGAAACGCAAAAACATTCGTCGTCTACACTATTAAATAAGTCTTTTTCAATGTATCTCACTAAATTAGCATTAGCAAATTGGTCGCCAAATCGACTTGGAAACTTGTTCTTAATATAACTCAAAGTTGAAAATGCTCTTTTTACATTTGCAGTCGTAATTCGTAGAATCAAAACTAGTGGAATTGTCGCTGTTGCTAGACAATTTCAGGGTTGTTGGGAAAAATCGAATGGGCATAAGGAGAAAAAAGATCCGATTAGGTCTTTATATAGTATAATAAATTAATTTTATGTCAATCTATGAATAAGTAATGAGTTGTGTTGTAGTGACAAAAATACTATAATACTACCTATATGCGTTGTTTTGCATCACCAATATACATATATATGACATAATTTTGTTCCTCCGAAATTTACCCCTGTCCCGGGACAAGGCCCAATGGGCCTCCCTCCGCTTATGTCAAGATGTAATGCTAGGGTTATAGTGATTTAGTGAGAGAGGTTGTGACACTGATGGCGTTGATTTTGTTAAAACTCAGCCAGCTTTCCATATGTCCCGCACCCGCACCCAAAAATAAATCAATGTCAAATTCTCAGGGTTACCGACTATCTATATCTTTTGAAAACACATTTCTATTATGAGATGGGTATAGTAGACAGTGTGTAAAACTATTATGTGATAAATCTCTAATGTCACACCTCATAACTTTAACTATCTATTTATGATCTCAAGTTACTAAATTCACAGCTCACCACCCAGAGCGAACATTCCTGCTAGTAATCATATTTTTTGTAGAGCTCGATAGTCCAAGGGTGAACAGTCGACCTCCTTTGGCTGGCGCCTGGCTGTGGCTCCACCACTTATTGTTGTGATCATGTATTTATAACAAAGCATTGTCTTAATTAGTACTATCATATATATGTTAATGTCGTTGCTTAGAGGTTGATTGGCACATCAAATGCACCCTACTCTCCCCAATGAGACAAGTCATGTTAGGTAGTTTAGTTTGTTACTTTGTACTTTGTAGTGCTTGGACAATTCTAATGATCTTCTTGTCAAGCATTATTCACCCTTCTCAGCCTTCTTAGACGGTTAGACCCCATCGACAAAGTTCTCATTTCTCATTCCTGAACCACTTTACACCTCTACTTTGTTTTGTCTTTTGCGTGGAAATTACATCTCAAATTTTCCATGAAAAGGCTCGTAAAGTTGTAGTCGGGCGAGAGGGGGGAAAGAAGAGAGAAAAGGTCTTGGCATCCAGGCCCAATAGCGGAGCCCACAATATAGAGCTCACCAACTCCCACTCCTGGAAAAGGCCGGCATGCAGAGCTAGCTGCTTGGCAGAATGACAGCCATATGAACCGTCTGGCCCACTACGTTTGGACTTTTTTTTTTAGAAATACGTTTGGACTTTGGATATCAATCAGTTTTATTTTTTTTTCGCAAAATCCACTTTTATAGGTATAACTATTCACGTTGTAACAAATATAGTCAAATTAAAAAAACATACTCATATAGTCATTTCGTCACAAATTTAACGGAAACTGGACTAACTGTTTATGTTAACCTGACAACTTTTACACTTGACTTTTCCAAGTTGAAAATATTATAATTTTAATTAACTGAAAAAAATAAAGGAAATGAAATAAAAGATGAGTGCCCTCAAGGCCTCAACAAATCGATTCTAGCCTTTTTTTTTTTTTGACAAAGGATTTACTTGTATTGCTCTTTGAGAGAAAAGTTACAAGGGAAGCCAAACAAAGAAGCCCAGAAAAGATCAAGGCAAGCCAAACATAAGCACACGGTTGTACAATCTGTGTTAAAGGAATACAAAAAGAGAAGAACAGAACACAGAAAATATCAACCCAAAACATCAGCAACACTTGAATCAGATCCAGAAGACACCGAAAGCTCCCTTGCAAACAAACCAATCAAAGAGCACCAAGCATAATCAGCTCGTCCGATCCGACCGAGTCCATGACAATTGAATACAACGCCAAAAGCCGCCTCCTGGGAGTCGCTCGAAGACGCTCAACACAGTGAATCTCTTGTGAGGGATTACATGGCGGTGGAAAGGGTAGAGGATCGAAATGCTCCGAGCTGAAAAAGCAGAGGAAGACGAGGCACCAAGAACTTGGTCAAGGGAGAAGAGGAACCCAAACTCCACAATCCAAGGTCTGAAACCGCAGTCAGAAGGGCCAGGCATCGCCTTCCTTCCACCGACGCCGACCAAGAGGCAGATGACTACCAACAGGGGGAACGGAGGGGAAAACAATGAATCGATTCACCATTCATGTTGTTGAACCCACCATCTAAAGAGGAGACCTCTAGATGAATAACCCAACTCCAAGGAGAGCAAATCCAGAAAGAAACCCTAGAACAGGGCAACGAAAGGCCATAAAGGCAGGAGAAGCTAAAAAGCTGGAAAATCCGATTGAAAAAGGCCAAACCAGTGGCAAGGAAGCATAAAAAGCAAGGAAGATGAAAGAAAAATGGGCTACCGCCGGTCACCAAGAGGTGCCGGCGGCAACCCCTGCAAAAACCCAAGCAGAGGGGCTGGAGGAGAAGAGAGAAGACAGAGGAAAATTTTGAAAAAAAGTAAGAGAGAGAGTTGCCCTATGATGGTGATTCTAGCCATTCAATCTACTGAATTATGTAATTCTCCAAAAGAAATGCCCTTATTCTCTCTCGATCTCCGCCGAAGTCCTCCACCTCCATAAACTCTTCCTTCACCTGTGCATCTTCAGCAATCGGAAACCCTTGAACTTCCGCCATTGACCTCATTCTCCTCCGCCTTCACTACCTCTATTGCTATGCTTTCCCTCGCGCCTTTCTCCTCTTTTTCAACCTTAACCCGAACCTCGTCGTTCGCTTCTGTTCCCGGAACACTATCGGCTTTCTCCATGACCAAGGAGGATCGCTGCTAATCCCCGTCGACGCCCTCGATCACCTGTTGGATCAAAAGCAATGTTGTTAAAGCCGAGTCGAGCTGGCTGGTCGAACCGGTAAGACCGACACCCAGACGCCAGCCCGGCTTTAACACTCTAAAAACCACAACAATCAGAAAAGATGGTTGGTAAGCGGTCTGAACGGCTAACCATTCGAACCATTCAAACCGACCAACCGATTCTAATTCCAATCGTCTAATTAATGGAACACAGGGGACGCGCGTGGGGTTGGGAAATTGCACTCATCAATTCCTTCTCTTTTCCCGACTCATAGCCCAAAGGCCAACTCTTCCTATTGGAAGCTGTGTAACAATAAATTATTAGTGTTTTTTCTATTTTCTTTTTGTTTCTAATTGTAATTATTAAATTATTAATTACTAGGGCTTCACAGGCCAACTCTTCTTTCTTGAATATTTGTTAAACATTAAGATACGTGAAGATTAATAATGTTAGATGGATTATGTGTAGAATTTTGGATTTTAGGTCTTAAGAGAAATTCACGTATTTGGATAGTTTATGTGAGATTTTAGACTTAAGAAGTTTTAGTGCACATGTTTTAAATTTGTTTAAAAGTAATGCAAGTGTGTGGTACTTATAAATTCTAATACTTGTTTACGTACGAGGCATCGGTTTGTTATCGGTTTTTCAACGATTTAATATCGTTTAAACCAATAAAGTGAACCGTTCACTATAACGGTTCATACTCTGCTTCGGTTCTGACAACATTGATCAAAAGGATTGGAAGAGAGTCCCTCTGCTCACCTACCGACATCCTAATCTCACATCCCGAGTTCGGGTTTGGTTTTTCCGCCGCAAATCACTAAGAGATTTCGAAAAAACCCTGTTCTTCCTGATTTTGTTTGTGTATATATGGATATGATTTTATCGTCTAATTACAGGGTTATTCTCTCTGCGTGTATCTGCCAAAGAATTAATGGGATTAGGTGGTGGTGGTGGTGGCAGCCTTCGATGCGAGTGGAGCAGCCGCGGTGGTCGGAGGAGAAAATCCAATTCATATATACCCAGTCGTCGATCAAGATTTCTGATCCCCAGTCGTCGATAGTCTCCGTAGTTCCACAGCAGCTGCCGGAGTGGCGAGGTCGTTGGGAGAGGACGAAGAGTGACGACGGAATTCAGCATCGTAACTGGTTTCGACGGACGAATATCGAATCTCGTTCTCTGCTCTCTCCATGGGGAAGGGGAAAGGAGAATTAAAAAAATTAAATGAATTTTCCTTCGTATTAGAATTATGGTGCAAAAATATTAAGGAAATTATTTAAAATTATGATTTAAACTGACACGTGCTGACATGTGGCATACATTTGATGACGTGTACATCCACATCATTGAAGAGTTAACAGTGTTAAAGTTTGTAACAGAAATGCCTAAAGTTGTCAAGCAAGTTTTGAAAAGTGGCTATATGAGTGTATTTTTTTAAAATTTGACTATATTTGTCACAACGCGATTAGTTATCTATGAAAGTGTATTTTTCTTTATTTTTTGTTTTTCTGGGACTCATCGCACTTTCCAATATCGGAATAAAACTGATTTACGTACCGTTCTATAAGCAGTTTAATTCGCGGTATTAGAGACCGCTCTACATTATAATCCTAAGTACATAGTTGACCCTAACAAAAGAAATTTATGAAACACGTGGTCAATCATCGAATTCGATACAATCCAATTTGAAGCTGACACCTGACAGGCCCCCACCTCGCGATCTCGTCCCTTAATTACATTCCCCCATTTGAAGCTGGCAACCAAAACCAAAAGCATTAGGACAATTGACGGGTTAATTGCACCTAATACCATATAAGTATCGCCTTCGTTGTATCTAACTATGTAAGTTCTTTTAGTTGCAACTAAATCACACAAGTTGAGTTTCGGTTGTATCGTTATATTTTCTATCTATAAACTTAACGGCAGGTACCAAATTACAATTCTCCATGCCACACAAGCACTCCAGCTTAGCTAGGCTGCCGAGTCATATGGGCCACTAGATCCACTTGGACCATATGTAAAATTATTTATTATTTTTTTATAAGGCAAAATTATTTATTCTGCGAACAAATAAAGAGGGGTTTGCTTTCTTTATGAAAGGAGCAAGGAGTGGTAAATGCTCTCTTTCCCCCTCTCTCCCCACATCCCCTGTTGTCGTCGCCAATCAGCATAACTATCGCCGATTGGCCACTGCGTTCTTCTCTCCCTCTATCTCACTATCAAAATTAAAACCTCGCAATGAAAGGCTCTCACCCACGAACTCACCATCTTCCCACCTCCCAAATTCGTTCGCCCTTGACTGATTATTCATTTTTATCAATTTAGTTTTCTATTTGTTCCCTCAACTTCTGTTTCATGCTAACTCTCATTATTATGCAATCTTGTGATGATGTTGTAGTCTTTGCTTATATCAAAACAACTGGAGAGTAATTGCTATTTCTAATACAAAACTAGCAGCTCCTTGCTTAAAACAGAAAAGAAACCAGCAGCAAAATTTATATTTTCCATCCGAGTAACAACAAAACGGAGAAAGCATTGCTACAAAGTAATAAAAAAAAACCATAGATCTTCTAGTAATTCATTCGACCATGCATCTGCAATTTTTTCATCATTTCATTCTCTTCTCCCGCCGATTCTCGATTCGCTAGGTTACTTTTTTTCATCTTGTCAGGTTTTTAGATAAACCAAGGGATGCTCTGTTTTTACTTCAATACTCGTGTTTTTTTTTGTTCGATTCACGCACATGCATTAACAATTGAAATTGGAGCATTAGTTAGTTGTGGGTTATTAGAATCAACTACGGAGTTGGGTCAAAGTTTGCTTTAATCTGTACTTTGATGAATCATGGAACCACTTTTAGCTCTCCTAAACCAAACTTTATGCAGGGTATTGAATGAACATAACTAATAAGTTAGCAGTAACTGCTTTAAAGGCCTCATTCTCATTAGCTTTTATCTTCAGTTGGGTAATTTTTCATCACTGGACACAGTTCCTCTGTTTTGATGTGACTCGGGTGGAAAATATAAATCCTTTATGCTGGTTTCTTCATTTTTTCCCTTTTAAGTATTTAGAAAGATAAATTACTAACTACTTACTGTCCAATTGTTTAAATAAGCAAAGCCAATCTTTCGTTGCTCGTAAAAGTATGTGGGCCCATGCGGATTTAGCGGACCATCTGACTCAACAATTTGGTTGAGTTGGAGTGCTTGCAAGTCATGGAGAATTGCAATTTGATACATGTCGTTAGGTTTATAAAAACAGAAAATATAACGATTCAACTGAATCTCAACTTGTGTGATTTAGTTGCAACTAAAAGAACTTACATGCTTAGTATACAATGAAAGCAATATTTATATCACACCAATCGTCTCTCGTTTAGCAAGGGAGGCGGCGGAAACCTTAAGGTTTTTCCGAAAAGGATACTGAGTGTTCCTGAGGTCTATATCAAAGCGAGCAGATTGTGATAGTTTTACAAAGCAAGTTGCTAGTTGAGTTTACCCTAACGATTCTATTCCCTTCGGAAATTCGGTGAGCTTGTTCACAAATCCTGGAAGAGTAGCTGTGAAGGGAAGACGTGTCTTCCAAGTTTTCGTCCGGCAGAGACCAGAATCTTGCTTTGAAGATGGCTGCAACCCTAGATAGTGACGAGATACCAGTTGAGGAGGATTCAACAAAAGAGAACCTTCATCCAACAGGCGAGATCGAGAATCAGCTGAATAACATATCGCTGGAGGAGGAGGACGAGGAACCCCTTGAGGTTGAAGATGGCGATGTGGATGTTGTGCGTATGGAAGCAGTGAGGCACCTGGGGCTCCATGGCCGCCTGGTGTGAGAGAAAAAACCTAATATCAAGTCAATGAAGTTAGCCCTATCGAAAGCGTGGAATCTGAAGAAAACCTTTCAGATTACAGATCTACAGGATAACCTATTTGCTTTTCAGTTTCTGGACTTCGACGATAGGAGCAAGGTTTGCTATGGAGGGCCCTGGCACTATGAGAACTGTCTCATAGTCTTCAAAGCAAGCTGGATGATTCGGAGCCAGTCCCAGCTGACCTGCATGAAATTGATATATGGATTCAGATAAAAAAAATTCCAGCGGAGCTCAGAACAACTTCAATGGCAGAGAAAATAGCCAAGATGTTTGGGGAGTTGGTCTATTTTGATGACAGTTCAGAGAAGATGTGGGAAGATTACTTGCGAGTCAGAGTTCATACATCCATCAATAATCCCCTAAGGAAGAAAGTTAAACTCAGTATAGGTGGAAAGATGATGGACTTCCCTATAAAGTATGAAAACTACCTTTGTTTTGTCACTCCTATGGAAGGATTGGCCACGTTAAAGTTAAGTTCCCCCAACCCTCCAATTTGGGGTATGACCCTTTTGGCTTTGAACTAAGAGCAACACCCCCTGCTCCGAGGAACTGGCTATCACCAATGGCAAGGAAAGCAGACACTGATGTGTGGAGACAGCTGAGGCAAAAGTTCAAAGTCGAAAGTATAGGATCCAATCAGGGAGTAGCAAAGTCAGTAGAGGTGGAACGGATGGAGACCGAACCAAAGTTCCATGATCTAGAGAATGATGAGCACAATGAAACAGAAAGAAAAGGTAAGGAGCAGGTCACCTTGATGGAGGAAAGCCAAAGAATAGGGGAAACTGGGCTGCCTGATGTTTCTTTGGAGCAGGGAGCCAAGGGCAGCCACGGGCAAGCCACGGATTTACAAAAGAAAGCACCTGAAAAAACAAGTGAT